TTGAAAATAAACCGTTTTCCGTAAATTTCCGTAAATTTCTTCCGCTCATCTCTGATCTCTACCTATCACGTCTGAACCTCCTCCAGCTTCAACTATCACCTATGAACCTAATCCATTTTCAACTATCACCTCTGTACCTACCACAGTTTCAACTTTCACTTCTGAACCTCCTCCAGCGTCAACTTTCACCGCTGAACCTACTCCATCTCTACCTATCTTGTCTGAACCTCCTCCATCTTTAACTATCACCGCTGAACCTACTCCATCTCTACCTATCACGTCTGAACCTCCTCCATCTTCAACTATCACCTCTGAACCTTCTCCAGCTTCAAATATCACTTCTGAACCTACACCATCTTTAACAATCACCTCTGTACCTACCACAGTTTCAACTTTCACCTCTGAACCTCCTCCAGCGTCAACTTTTACCGCTGAACCTACTCCAACTCTACCTATCTTGTCTGAACCTCCTCCATCTTTAACTATCACCGCTGAACCTACTCCATCTTCAACTTTTCCCGCTGATCCTACTCCATCTCTACCTATCACGTCTGAACCTCCTCCAGCTTCAACTATCACCTCTGAACCTACTCCATCTTTAACTATTACCTCTTAACCTCCTCCATCTTTAACTATCACCTCTGAACCTCCACCATCTTCAACTATCACCTCTGAACCTACTCCATCTTTAACTATCACCTCTGAACCTCATCCATCTTCAACTATCACCTCTGATGCTTCTCCATCTTTAACTATCACCGCTGAACCTACTCCATCTCTACCTATCTTGTCTGAACCTCCTCCATCTTTAACTATCACCGCTGAACCTACTCCATCTCTACCTATCTTGTCTGAACCTCCTCCATCTTTACTATCACCGCTGAACCTACTCCATCTTCAACTTTTCCCGCTGAACCTCCACCATCTTCAACTATCACCTCTGAACCTACTCCATCTTTAACTATCACCTCTGAACCTCATCCATCTTCAACTATCACCTCTGATGCTTCTCCAGCTTCAACTATCACCTCTGAACCTCCTCCATCATCAACTATCACGTTTGAACCTCCTCCAGCTTCAACTATCACCTATGAACCTTATCTATCTTTAACTATCACCTCTGTACCTACCACAGTTTCAACTATCACGTCTGAACCTCCTCCATCTTCAACTATCACCTCTGAACCTACTCCATCTCTACCTATCACGTCTGAACCTCCTCCATCTTCAACTATCACCTCTGAACCTTCTCCAGCTTCAAATATCACTTCTGAACCTACACCCTCTTTAACTATGACCTCTGTACCTACCACAGTTTCAACTTTCACCTCTGAACCTCCTCCGGCGTCAACTTTTACCGCAGAACCTACTCCAACTCTACCTATCTTGTCTGAACCTCCTCCAGCTTCAACTATCACCTCTGAACCTACTCCATCTTCAAATTTTCCCGCTGCTCCTACTCCATCTCTACCTATCACGTCTGAACCTCCTCCAGCTTCAACTATCACCTCTGAACCTCCTCCATCTTTAACTATCACCGCTGAACCTACTCCATCTCTACCTATCTTGTCTGAACCTCCTCCATCTTTAACTATCACCGCTGAACCTACTCCATCTCTACCTATCTTGTCTGAACCTCCTCCATCTTTAACTATCACCGCTGAACCTACTCCATCTTCAACTTTTCCCGCTGATCCTACTCCATCTCTACCTATCACGTCTGAACCTCCTCCAGCTTCAACTATCACCTCTGAACCTACTCCATCTTTAACTATCACCTCTTAACCTCCTCCATCTTTAACTATCACCTCCGAACCTCCACCATCTTCAACTATCACCTCTGAACCTACTCCATCTTTAACTATCACCTCTGAACCTCATCCATCTTCAACTATCACCTCTGAACCTTCTCCAGCTTCAAATATCACTTCTGAACCAACACCATCTTCAACTATCACCTCAGTACCTACCACAGTTTCAACTTTCCCCTCTGAACCTCCTCCGGCGTCAACTTTTACCGCTGAACCGACTCCATCTCTACCTATCACGTCTGAACCTTTTCCAGCTTCAACTATCACCTCTGAACCTACTCCATCTTTAACTTTTCCCGCTGATCCTACTCCATCTCTACCTATCACGTCTGAACCTTTCCAGCTTCAACTATCACCTCTGAACCTCCTCCATCTTCAACTTTTCCCGCTGCTCATTCTCCATCTCTACCTATCACGTCATGAACCTCCTACCAGCTTCAAGTATCACCTTTGAACCTCCCCCATCTTAAACTATCGCCGCTGCACCTACTCCATCTCTCCGTATATTGCTTCCCCTCATCTCTGGTAGAGATGGAGTAGGTTCAGCGGTAAAATTTGACGCCGGAGGAGGTTCAGACGGTCTAAACGTTGAAACATGTGGTAGTGTACAGAGGCTGATAGTTGAAGATGGTGTAGGTTCAGAAGTCATATTTGACAGCTGCGAGAAGATTCA